TACATTTCCTCCAGCAGGTCTCACTTTACCTTCTAGAACCTCTCAAAATAATGTAAGGAGTTAGGAACCAAGTGTTCAACACTTGAGCCTGTGGGGACATTTCATATTCCAACTGCAATACTCTATGCTGACTCCTCACCAAATCATATTGCAAAATGCATTTAGTCTGTCTCTGGGAGTCCCCTAAGTCTTCACAATCCCAATGCTATTCAAGAGTCTTCAGTTCAAAATCTCCTCTGAGACTCCAGGAAATCTCTAAACTCTGAGCTCCTGTAAAAATGAAACACCGGTTACATAACCCAAGGTATGAAGGAGCAGAGTGAAGTGTCTCCTTACAAAAAGAAGCAATGACAGAATAGCAAGGTAAGATTGGAAGGAAGCAAGACCTTTGAGGATAGGAGCATGGGCATAATGGCTCATGTGTGGACACCAAAAGACAGCTGGGTGACACTAGTTCTCTTCATCCCTTTTAAAGTATGGACCAGTAATCAAATTCAGGGCACTTGGCTTATTTGGCAAGGACCTTTGACTGATGTACTGTCTCCCAGGCCACTACTGGTCAATTTTTTTTTATTTCCTTCTGGCCTGAGCTCCTCCACAATTGTCCATTCTGTTTATGACATTCCATGGATTCTCTAATCTGTGATTCCAAACTTTTCCAAATTACTGCAAACTGTTTGCAAATAAGTAGGACTGAATGGTTAGGTTGGGTCCTAGCAACAGGCCCATTGCAGTCATTGGTCTTCTTCACTGGTTATGTTTCCATCAATTTGACAGAGTATTTGTCAGACACTAGGAAAGACTTATTTCTGCTCATTTTTCAAAAGTCCTAGAGCATTGTTTCTTGACTTATGTGCTTGGGCAGACCATTGTGGTGGTGGTGGTGATGATGATGATGGGAGCAATGAGATGAGAGAAATTCTTTGTGCCATGGTTGACAGGAGAGAAAGAGAAAACAGACACACATAGAGAGACAAGTTCAGAGACACAGGGACAGATAAAAAACACCCAAGGACCCCCCCCACAGAACAGAGAGATAGAGGCAAACAGGCAGATACAGAGAGAGACAGAAACAGAGACAGAAACAGAAAGAGAGCAGACACACACACACACACACACACACAGAGAGAGAGAGAGAGAGAGAGAGAGAGAGAGAGAAGGAGAGAGAAAGAGGGAGGTAAGGAGGTAGGGAGAGAGGCAGGGGAAGGAAAGAGACTGTTCTGGTGTGAAAAATCTACATGAATTCTGCTGTGTATTCTATCAAAGGTTAAGAGACATAATAGCCTCTATCTTTTAAAAAAATCATAAGTCTGCACCTGGCAAAAATGTGGTCCCAATCATTGCGTAAGACTGTGTGGCTGAGCTCTGACCATTTAGAGTGAAGACCCCATTGCACTGAACATAGAAACCCAGTGGGACTTGCGCCTGCATCTGCTATTCTGCTTGCTTGCTTAAGTGCCACTACACACTCCTATGCAGAAGTAAATATTTTTGTCTTGCCAAAATGCTTTGGTTTGTATAGTCTCCTTTCCTTAAAACTCATTATAAACACTGGGGCATTATGTAATCATCCCCTCAAAACATGCCTTTAATGACATGTCCTTCAGGTAGACAGAACCTTATAAAGTTTCTAGAACCTTACAGAACAAAAAGGCTGTTGGGGACAAATCGTAACACTAACCATCTAGAGGTGATTGAAAAGTACTACTAACACTTAAAACCTTTTCCTGGTCTTCAAGATTTTATTGAACATAGTAATGATCACCCTTTATTTTGTTCCTTAATTAAGAATATTAAAGTATACTGAGCACTTCATTGTCTCTGTGACCTCTTTGTACAGCCACCCGTGGTGGCACACACATGTAATTGTAGTATTTGGGGGCTCAGTCAGCATGATCATGAGTTTAAGGTCAGCCTGGAATACAAGAGTGAAAGAAAAAAATGTTGTATACACTTCATATTAAATAAATTTTAAGCCTCTACACTCTGAATAATTCTATAGTTAATTTAATCACCTTTTGCATTTGAAATGTTTGAATCATGACTTTTTCTAGCTCATCATTGTCTTATGTTTTCATTGCTCCCTTCATCTCCCTTCCTATTTGTTCTTATTTACTTAGTAAAAACTACTTGTTAAAATTTTGAGGCATGTGGGATCTTTTAAGATGGGGGTAGAACTTTCAGGAGCATATTTTTGGACGTCTTTTTCAATCCAGATGCTCAGGTAGCTGAATTTCTTCAAGACAGGGGTGGAAGAACCTTGTGTTAGTTAGTGGTAATTGATGTCTAAATAATAGTCAAGCTGATGGGCAGCTACTTATTGAGGATAGTGAAGGAGAAGAGAATTAACCTCTGACTTTAAAAGGCTTCTGAGGAGCAGCAATGGCATTGTTTCTGCTCACTGGCAGTGGGGACTGAGCACTCAGGTCAGAGAAAATTATCCCAGCAGAATGCGGAAGTCATGCATCTCCTGAGAAACTCAGAAACCATGTGAGATACTGTTTGTCCACTTTAAAAAAAAATTCTACAAGGTGTGTGTGTGTGTGTGTGTGTGTGTGTGTGTGTGTGTGTGTGTGTGTGTGTGTAATACTGGGTACTAAATTCCAATCACTTCATTGCTTGGCTATATTCTTAGAGATCTTTGTACTTTTGAAGAATAAAGAGTTCCTTGTATTGGCCTTCAACTCACTCTATAGCTCACTTGGTCCTCAAATAGACTATCCTCCTACCTCAGCCTCACATGTCGATGGGATTATAGATCTACACTGTTATGTTCAACATCAGATGTACAGTCTGATTCTCAACAGATTTGAAGAGACAGTTTTCAATAAAATGAACAATTACATTTTATGAAACTGTCAATTTGCTAAGTTTTTGCTCTTAAAAAACTTTGAATCCAAATATGCTTTTTTCTTTTATTTGAACTGTTTTTTAATTATTTTAACAGAAAATTAGTGTGATTTCATACTAAGGTAATTTATTTGGCAAAGTCTCAAATATCAATAATGAACTGAAATACATTTTCAGTGTTAGGATCAAACTCAGTCTTATACATGCCAAATTCTATCCTCCGCTTGAAAAAAATGTGGTGTAAGAGTAAATTCACTTTAAGCATAAAATAGTCAGTTAAAACGTTATTAGTTTTTGAAAGAGTATTGCTGTTCCTTGTTTCTTATCAATTAGAACTTTCTTGAAGACCATGTCAAAATAGCAATATCACACTTTAACTCTGTTGACTGCAGAATTCTTGTTTATTTTTGTTCAAATGCTGTCTTCTTAAAGTGTCTCTAGGGGTCCCCAAGGGAAAGGGCACTTCCAGTGTGTGGTCCCTATGTCTGCATGCAGCAAAACACCATCATTTGATCCCCTCATTGTATTGCTCTCAAAGTTATATATATATATATATATATATATATATATTATATGTATATATGCATATATGTGTTGTGTGCTTGTATATATAAATGTTTAAAACACAAGTTGTAAGAATATGATTTTAATTAGAAAGGCAATCTCCTTTTTCTGCCTTCTGGCCCTCTCAGGAGAGACTGTCAGACAGGAGGAGAGGGATGCCTGTCTCAGCATGAATATCCCTATGAACTATGTTCATGTCTCTCATTCTTTAGAATGACACCTATAGAGTGCACCAGGTAAAGCTGCTTTCTGTGAACTATGTTGCTTGACTTTTAGCATTTCAGGAGATGAGGAAAGAATTGACACTTGAATTCTGAGAGCTTCTAATGGCAAAGGTGGTGTAAGTGGACTAGATTCTGATACAACTTGAGTTTATTTGAATTTGTTCTATATGAAACCACCTATGTATTGATGACATGTTTAAAATAAGATACTGTTTATTTAAGAGGGGTAAGAGCTACCAATGGCAAGGTCTTAGAATGGATTGCTCTATATATGAAATTTTCTTTAAAGAAAACACAAGGTCCCTTGAAACCAGGAGCCAAGATTATTATGGATTTCAGGCTGTGCTAACATGCATCTGATCAGAAAAGTTACTGAACTTTTAGAATCCTTCACTGTTGTTGATCATGTAGAAACAAGTACCATACATAATGTTTAAGATTCCCTACATAAGCAGTAACAATATTGCAAAACCACAAAATGATAAAGAACTTCACTGATTAACTTATGAAAATGTTATAATATTCCTAGACAAGACAGCCAAACTTGTTCAAATCTTACATGACAGATTTTATGGTTTTAATGAGTAAAAGTTGATGAGGTATATTCATATTTGCAAGTGGTTTCTTAAAGGAAAATTGTATGTTATGTTAGAATATTCTCACATTAAAATAAGGAATGTAAAGAGTTGGTATTAGTGTTTGTACAAAAAAATCTTCATATCACCATTTATTAATGAAAGATAGCTTTATTTTGAACTGTATATTGGGCAGATCTTACAATTTCTATGCATTGATGCTACCAAAAAGAGGGAGGGTGTGTGTGTGTCTGTGTGTGTGTGGGGGGTACATGCTTTTTTTAAGAGTAAATAGGAAGCCAAGTGGTGGTGGCACATGCCTTTAATCCCAGCACTTGGGAGGCAGAATCCGGTAGATCTCTGTGAGTTCAAGACCAGCCTGGTCTACAAGAACTAGTTACAGGACAGCCTCCAAAGTACAGAGAAACCCTGTCTCCAAAAACAAAACAAACAAACCAACAACAACAAAAAGAGTAAATAGGAAATATATTCCTAACCCAACTTCAAAAAGTATCAAAGGATAAGTACATTCAAGACACCTTATTCTTCCATTACATTCTTATTAGGACTGAACAGTTGCATCTATGAGAGTGAAATTATAAAACAGTTATTGTGTATCTAAAGATTTTTTAATAGAATTTAAGAGATAAGGATATAAAAGTGTGTGGGAAATCATTTAGCCTCCTGTGCTTAGAATAATTTATTTATTCTGGCAGGTGGTGTTTTCAGTTTATTCCTATTTTCCTTTCTTCTCCCTTTAGAATGTTTGATTAACCAGTGCAAATTACTATAGCTCCAACATAGCCATCATTATCAGAGAAATGCTCCATCCCTTTGAATCTCCAAAATCAAGTGCTGTTCCTGTAGAGCTTGGAACACTTGTTGTGGGAGGGGGAGGAGGTGGCTTGCTCTTACAGGTTGGAATTGGTGGCTGCCATGTACTGTCACCCTCACACATGACGGTGTTGCTTCCGTGAAGGAAAAGCCCCTGGTTACAATCAAACATGACCATTGCTCTATAGGAATATTTCTTTCTGAATCCTGAAGTCAGTCTCCCATTTTTAATGACAGGATGTGGACATTTGACCACTTTGCACTCAGGAGGGTTAGCACTCCATAATCTATTTTCAGAGCAATAAATCTGTCTCTCGCCAACAAGGGACAGTTCATCCTGGCCAGGAACTTGTTTACATTGGTAAGTTGCCACTTCATGATATTCAAATACGTCCTTGTGACTTGGGGAGAATACTCCATTTATTATATTTGGAGGTGGTGCACATAAAATCTTTGAACATATTGGCGGTTCATCACTCCACTGTACATCTGATCCTGTAGCAAGACAATATAAAATTTCTTCACCAATTAAGAAAAATCCAGGATTGCAAATATATTGAATTTGTGTACCAAACTCTGAACTTCCATTCACGAAGTTTACTTGGCCATTGTTGGGATCATCTAGCCTTGGACATGATTTTTTGTAACAAGCATCCTTTGAAATGGGTAACCACTGGCCATTTGCAGCACACACACTGTAAATCTTGATAGTAGGTCGTCGCATGTATCCTGGTCTACATGAGTATTGTACTTTTTCCCCAGCCACGTAAGTGGTTTTGGGACTGCCATTGAGCTGCATGTTTTCAAATCTTGGTGGCTTACCACAGGCATCAGAAGATGTAGACAACAGGGTCACCAGGAGGGTCACAAGAAAGCACTGAGCAAAAAAGTGGTTTGAGAGGTGTTGGAGAGGCATCCTGCTCAGTGCTGAAGAGGTAAGGCTTGATATAAACGAGCTGAAAAACTTGCAAGTCTAGGACTTTTTCTGTCCAATTACCATGCGCAACGCAACAATCGCTAGTGTCAAGGTTAGATGACTGATGGGTGTGGCCCAGGCCTCGCCCAGGAGGGAAGTCGCCCAAAGTACTGGCTAGCTTGGGTCTATCAACATACGAATGGAATATCACTAAAAAGTGGATTTGGGTTTGCTTTCTAAATCTGCAATAAATAATCTTCCTTCATCCGCAAGAGGGTTTCTTTATTTTTGGTTATCGATTCATTGATGTTGTATTATTGGTGCTTTCTGTCTGAATTTGTCCCTAAGCAAGCCGGAAGGTGTGCTTGGGGTCTGTTTGAAAGATGCCAGAATGCTCAAGTAAGGTATTTGGAAAAGTGGGATTAAGAAAGAAGAAAGGGACATCTGGGAATGAATCGTGCTGTGTACCCCCTTAGGAGGCTATCACAACGCCTTTAGAAGCAGCCTACAGAGACTGGAACAGTAGAACACATTAGTTACTAATAATTGTGCTTGCTTCCCTAGACAGTAGCTCCAGGTAGATTAATTTACCTCCACACCTTCATGGGATACCTGCTTCTTCAAGAAAATATCTGCTTGGAGCAAGCAAGGACCTAGCTGAGAGACATACCAACATGGGTGGAGTTGCACATTGACAATGATTAGTCATCAATACCGAAGATCCCCGAAGCATCTGCTTGGGATAAGTCTCCATCTCTGTCTATTGTTCTGATTATATACAGAGAATTTAAGAATGTTATTTCCTTGCTTCCTTTCACTGAAGAATCCTGGGATGTGTAGATACCAGAAAGAAAGTTTGCCCCTAAAGCTATCTTCAATTTGCCATGGTTCTCTTAGGCAACCAATGCATGATGGACATGCTACATCTAAGAGCAGCTAGTTTTCCTCAAGAAAACAAACATACAGACGAAACAAAACAAAAACAAACAACAACAACAAAGCCAAGGCAGAATGGGTCTTGAAATGTGGAACACAAGTGAGCTACTGATCAGCCTCACTCGAGGGTGACCTCATTGACTAAGAATTGTGTAATGTCAGTGCCCATTTCTTCATACAATGTTCCTTCCATTTGTCTAGTTCTTTCTCATTTTATTTGTCATAAATTAGACTAGATATATTTTTTTACCTTCCTTGTGTCCTTTTAATTTCTTCTTAGAGTTTTATTTATGCTTTTATTGAAAATTTTACAATATTCTGGTCATGGTTTCACTCCCTTATCTCCTTCCAGATCCTACCTCCCCACCCATCCAACTCCAATCCTCTGTCTATCTCTCTTTAGAAAACAAGCAGGCAAATACAAAAGCAAACAAACTAGTAGAAAAACAGACAAATAAATAATGAATAAATGAAACAGGTGAAAAAAACACAAGAAATCCACATACCTAAATGCACCTAAAATATGGATTTCCCCTTTGAGAATGTTCTCAACATAGATATTCAACTCAAATTACTAAATCCAATCATATTTCATTTATTTGAATTTACTAATGACTCCTGTGATCAAGTATACTGAATGCCATGTGAAACATTTCTACTTGTATCATTCTCTGAGGATATGTAGAATGTCACCTTCCCAAACTAACTTATTCCCTCATTCTGCACAAATCTAATTCTTTGGTTACAATTGTCTTGATAGTTCACACCATCTACATCCTAAGTGGAAAATAGTAGCTATTTCAGACACTGTCATCATGCTATTTCCCATGCCTAATTAATTAGTCTTCCAGATTGTACTTCATAGAAAAAGTCCCATTTGTGATGATACACAATAAATCATAACAGGATATATCTTTGACTCAGCCTGGTTAACCTTTGGAAATAACAACTCCCCGAAGATCTTTGAAGATGCTGATATTGTTCAGGAATATCTCATACATATTTTAGGACCTGGTCACTCCTTTTAGATGTATCATATATATATATATATATATATATATATATGTATGTATATATATATATATCAAATGATATATTTTGCTATAGAGTTTAAAATGATTATTATAATATTATTAAGATATGTACCACCTCACAAATTCATGACTGCTGAATTTTATCTAATGTCTTTTGTCTACCTATTAAGGTTAAAAGAACAGATAATTTCCTTTCATTCTGTTGATATGGTATCTCAGATTTATTAATTTTCATATTACATCCTACCATATTATACTTGATTTTTATTAGCTCATGAACAAGCTTTTGAACGTGCTATTGGATTTAGGTTACTGCTATTATTGCTTAATGTGTATATATATTTTGAGGATATGGGTTTACAGTCTTTCTTTTGTCTCCTTTTCTTTCTGTTATAGTATGTTATTTTTTAATGAGGACAGTGCTGGCCCTCATTGAATCTGCATGTAAAAATTATTTTCTAATTTGGGGGAATATCTCACAGATAATTGGTATTGTTTACATTTTTGATACAAACCAACATTGAAACCATTGGTTCTAAGAGCAATGACATGAGCGTTCCATTGATTTATCTTTGTTACTTGCTATTGATCTGGTGAGTGTTTCCATTCCTCTCATGGTTTAGTCATGGTAAAGTACATATGTTTCTGGGAATTTGTCCATTTGTCCATATCAAATTTGTTGACAATAATTGTTCATGGTAATTTCAGTGAGTTTTCATATTATGTGGTGTCAGTTGTAACAGCTTCTTTTTTCATATGTTGGCACAAAAACAAAAAACAAAACAAAACAAAACAAACCCACACCTTTTACTTCCGAGGAAAATATTTCATTCTAGAACCAAATTTGAGTGACAATGGCCCAGGAAACATTGAGCTAGATTACCCCAGGTTTCATGTTGTAATGTGCAAGCAGTTTCATGAAGTTTTATAGTGCAGAACAAAGTCATAAACAAAGACAATTTTAAAACAGATTGGTGGGTACATCAGATAAGTAGATCACAGCCAGGCAGATTGGCCTCATATGCTATCAGCCAACATTTTAGCATTCCGTTGGTAGAGAAGAGGGTTTCCTTAATACAAATCCAAAAGCTTTTCATCTGTTTATCAAGTCTGATACAGAGATAGACAAGGAATGAATCCTTAGCATACAAGTAGTACAGATTAACAAATAAAGCATTATATTTCCCATGTGCTGTATCATGTCTTGTTATAATTGTTAAATGATTATTATAGTGATATTATTAAGATATCTATCACCTCATGTAGTCATGACTGCTGAATTTTATCTAGCTTCTGCTGTCTGCTTCAAACATTAATATGGATCATTGCCATTCTGTTGATATGGTATATCAGATTTATTACTTTGCGTAGTTTTCCTTATTTTTTTGAAAAGACTTTTTATTTTTATTCTATGTGTTTGGGCAATTTGCCTGTATGTATGTCTGTGTATCACATGTGTGCACTGCCTAGAAGAGGACCTTGGATTCTCTGGAACTGGAGGTATAGACAGCTGTGAGTCATTATGTGGGTGCTGACAACAAAGTCAGATCTTCTGCAAGAGCAAAAGCTGTTCATAACCACTGAGCTATCTCTCCAGCCCCTCTCTTGCTTTTGCTTTCTATTTAAAGCCTACATTATGTCAGAATCCCTGCACATGCATTTAGGGTAGTCATTGAATTTCTGTGTTCCTCTTCCTTATTCTGTTTTTCACTATCAACTGACTTAGTGAAGACAGGCTTCTGAATCTGGTTAGTTGGTACACAGACTGTGACCTCTAAGTCCAATAACAGAGCTAGTAACAAAACTAGTGAGTATGTATCTGTGATAGTTTAAATAAAAATAGCCCCTATAGGCTCATATATTCAAATGCTTAGTCATCAGGGAGTGTTACTACATGAAAAGGAACATGAGGTGTGGCCTTGTTCGAGGAAGCTTGTCACTGGGGATAAGCTTATCTGTTTCAAAAGTCAAAGGCAGGCCCAGTGTCTCTCTCTTCCTGCTGCTTGCAGATCCACAGGTAGAACTCTCAGCTACTTCTCCAGCATCTCACAGCAATAGAATAATGACCAAGGCAATATCCAAAGCTAATGAAATCTGTATGTTGAGGAGACCTTTGTATTCCAACCTCTGCATTTCATGTTTCTGCACAGAAATGATAAAGAAAATAAGGAATAGCAAATAAAACGTATTGGATCTATGAAACAGAAAATTTATTTTTTTTAAAAAAAGAATGAAAGGTCCTTTATGACATGGGGCTGGTCTGTAGATCATCATGTTAAATGACATGAGGCAGGGGGTTGGGTTGTAGGGCAGTGGTGTACTGTTTGCCTCAGAAATGCAAGGTACTGGGCTCAGTCTTCAGCAGTACCCAAAGCAGGTTGATGGAGGGGAATTGAGGCACAGAAAGATCAGTATTTCATGCCCTATCTCAATGCAGAACCTTAAACCGTTGATTTTAAAAAATATAGTTGAGTATAGACTTCTGGTTGCCAGATGCCAAAGAATATGGAAATTGGTTACCAAGTTACAGAAAGGAATAAGAAGCTTGTTTTTTCTATTGTAATATATGTTGGTTGCATGTAACAAAATGATTACCAAGAACAAAATCATCACAAATCTATGTGAAAGCATTCTGAATGTTTTACCATGAAGAAATAATAAATGATGGATGAGGTAAATATGTATAACTTGGCTGGAATATTATTTAACACATATAGGTAGAAATTTTATGCCTCATTAATATTAACAATTTTTATGTGCCAGAAAAAATAAACTTTAAAAGAATAGTACATATTCTTAGTAGAATTCAGCAGTGCTATCAGGTCCCGGGGTTTCTTTCATGTGGCAGACTTTTTAATACTGATTCAATCTCTCTTGTTATTGATTTATTTTACTTTTCTGTTTATCCAGAATTCAATCTTAGAAGGTTGTCTGTGTCAGGAATGTATCCATTTCTTCTAGGTTTTCCATCTTGAGGCATATAATTGTTCATAACCACCTTTTATGATCTTTTGTATTTCTGTGAAATCG